GAGGGATTGCTGAAGAGTCAATGAGTCGATGCAATCAGCTGGTTTTCCTTAGATAGAAAACTTTGAATCAATCTGACTGGATGATCTGGTGAACTTGGCACTATAGAAATAAAACGTGTTGTAAATTGGCGCTATAGAAATAAACTGAATAGAATTGAACCTGAATTTTAATAGAAATGCTTTAATCTCCTCATGCTGCTGATTCTGGACTCTTCTCCATCCTCCTCCATCTTAGTGCGTCCTTTGGAACCATTTCTCCCTCCAGTCTCCTCAGTAGATTATCGTCAGTTTTTTCTCACCCTTCCTGTTTCTACTGGTGTCCCTTAACCCTCGCCCCCCCCTTTTCATCACCTACCTCCTTCATGTTATGCAGATGATCTACATCTATCAGACCTTCTTCACATCGCCACCTCCTCCCTCTTCCTCAGATCCTCCTCCATCCACTTCACTGCCCCCCCCCCAGCTCCACCTGTCACCATGGGGGGGCAGAGCCTTCCGCCGCTCACCACAGAATAAACTTTCTCCCCGAGTTTAAAACCAGAATCCAAACTTGTTCCAGCTTTACTAATTTCTGAATCCACTGTTCTTTTTCGTCTCCATAACTATTTATACTTTTCTGTTCCCTGTATTTATATTTATTATTATTTTATTTTTATTGTTCTATTTCCAGACTAACGGCGTATTTGATTCTCACTTCATCACCTCGCTGATGTTTTCCACGCCGCAGGTCTGCAGAGCAAACGCTGCCAACAGGAGGCGGTTCTGTTCACTGGGTTGAACCTGAAGAACCCAGAAATCAACCATCTGCTGCTGTAAGCGGGTCGGAGATGCGGCGCCGCATCCGCTCACCTGCAGGATCTGGACGTAGGCCTGGTGAGGGTCTGTCATCTTCATCCCGTTGATCTCCACGAAGAGGAACGCCGGGATCTCGTCTGCGGCGGCGGCGTGCTGCAGGCAGCGCATCACCTCGTGGACCGTGGCCGTCTTCCCCGTCCCCGGCACCCCAGAGATGTACATGCACCTGAGCAGAGACAGGACGGGTTTCAGAAGGTTCGGTTCTACCAGTGGAGTGGGTTCAGTGGCTAAGAGCTCCCCCTGGTGGCTGCCAGCAGAACCACAAACACCTCCCAGACCGACGCCCCAGTTCTTCTCTAACTGGGACTAGGGGTGTAAATCACATCCATCATGGCGATTCGATTCAGTA